CAACTTCAGTGCAATAAAACACATAATGTACATCTTAGTTATCAGAAAACAACATTCATAACAACCTGACATTATATTCCATCTCTCTTTTTAAATAGTGGTAGTTTAGCCAACTACACAAAAGCTATACGGAACTGAACTAGTTTAGCGACGTTACTCGCGATTAGCGTTAGCTTCGTGCTAACTTAATTAACCTTTCAAAGTCCGTTCTCACGGTTCACAATGATACAACAAATATCCCGGTGGGTTCAAATATTAGGACACGTTCCTATAACTCTTATATATATTAATTTTTTTTAAAAATAAAATTATCTCAATAAACGGCATTGAGGCCTAGCGTTTTAGCATGTAGCAATGCTCTTACCGTAGTTCAACAGTGCTCTCGGTCTCAGGACGAACAAGCGCGCTGAATGGCCGTGACCTGGGGCGCCACATGTGGTGGAGCATGGTAAACATTCAAATAACGCAAATGGGTTTGGTTCCCATGGGGGTCATATATAAATATATATAGTCACATGATATACCAGGCTGTTTTGACGTGGACATGGCTGCTCACCCCTGCTCTAAACACCCTCAAAGGCCGGTCATCATTTGGAGGAATACTTTGACTGATGTTCAACATTCTCCAGCTAAAGACTGGAAATTCTCCTCTGGTTGGAATATTGATCGTCTGTCTTCTGGAGTTGCTGGACAAATGCATCAGCGTGATCAGTAAACAGTGTCTACAGCAACCGTTCCCAGGGAAGCTGGGACACCAGACTAATGTAAATGAATAGTGAGCAGAGCAGGCCAGGGAATGATAAACACAGCAGGTTCTTTCATTGATATTCCACAGATCTGACGACAGCTAGCAGGTAAACCAAAAGTCCATAACATTTCTGACTGATTTTAATCTTTGATCATACAGACCAGTTATGATCCAGTTAATATCCCACATTTGTCACGTTCACTGGAAACCAAACTTTCTGTAAGTGCAAGTCATTCTTTGGCTTATCGAGGCTGCTGATCTTAGACGATCCAGAAAAAAAAAAACATTTGTTGGAATACAGCGTTCTGCCTTGTCCAGCAGTTTTGTTGGGGAACATTGCCTCTCTTGTGTCCTCGCGTCATTTCACGATACTGCGCATGGCCCTAAATCAGCATATCCTATTTATATTTGCTGCATTGTGCACATGCAGCCACCCAATGCAGTTCTGCTGTAGCCCCAAGGTCTCTGGCCTGGAAAATTTCACTCAATGTGACTGACAGTCCCACAGCAAGTGGCAGTGAGTGAGAAAAAAAAAGAAATCAACTATTCTGCTTCATAGACAGAACTACAGTGACACTGGGCTGCAGCTGCTACTGTACATATACAGACGTGGTAAAGTTTGTGAGGAACAACACAGGAAACGTTTACAGAAATATAACTTAGACTCGTTGTAAAGCCTTCCTCACGCTGCCTCAACACTTCTGCACACTCGCTGCTGCACTAAGATTCAGGCTCTGGCAGTTTAATATACCTGGACCTCATACCCCAGCTACTGAGGGGCAGTTTATGACCTCCATGTAATCAGCAGTAAATGCTGCCACCATCTGTCTCCTTTTACTCAATTATCTGACCCACTGACTTTTACTGAACACTGTCCACGTAAACAGACTAATGCAAATCTTCCAGCTTAGATTGGGACTCATTTGTAAAGTGCCCCCCCACCACTAACACCCCCCCCCCAAAAAAATTAATTCTATTTTACAAGTTGTTATATCAAGTTGATGTATAAACACCATCGTTCAAAATGTGAACTACGTGATATTTTTTAAATATAAATATGTCTCGTTATTAAATACAAGCAACACAATCTCACAGAGTTCAATTTAGTTAATTAGAAACTGTTGATTGCCGGGAGTATTATACATGCACAACATCTGTGCTACGATTAAACCGGTTTCTCTCCTCTCTGGCGCCCCCTGCTGGACATTCCAGGGACATGACTAGTTTGTGAGTTTTATGTTGAGTAGAGACATTCATCAAAAAAAAA